CCCCTCCCCCACTCATGCTCTTTCTCTCTCTCTCAAAAATAAAAAAGAGGAGTCCCTGGGTAGCTCAGTCGGTTAAGCATGCGACTTTAGCTCAGATCATGATCTCACAGTTTATGGGTTCAAGCCCCACGTTGGGCTCTGTGCTGACAGCTCGGAGCCTGCTTGGGATTGTGTCTCCCCTCTCTCTCTCAAAAATAAACACTAAAAAAAAATGTTTTTTAAGAAGTAAAAAGAAGAAAAAAAGAACTGAATGAGCCTAAAAGCAACTGTGTACCTGGGATGTTTTACCCTAAGAGACTGCTGACCGCCCCTTTCCTTTTCACTGTTATTATCAATGTGGCTTTTTAAAAAGAGGGACGGAGAAATTGGGAATTCTTTTTAACTTAAGAAAATTCTTCTTAAAAACAAAAAAAGAAAATTCTTCTTGGGTTCTGGCCAAATCACTCTTAGCCTCCATTCCTTGCCCTCTGAAGCTTACAAAACCACTGAAAATGTCCCTATTTGAGGTACGCCCTGCAGTCATAGCGGACGTGTAGTGTAGCTATTAGGTGGCAGAAGACTGACCTAGATTTGAATCCCGCCTGCCTCCAGCAGCTGTGACCTAGAGCAGGTCAACCTCCCCGTCTCGGTTTCCCCTTCTGCAAAATAATACCTAATCGTAGCACACACAGTGCCTTCGGGGGCCATGGACAGGCGGTCCCAAGATGGACCACTTCGGCAGGCCAACTCTTTGGAGCTGAGACCCCGTGAGCTCAAAAGAAACGTCTGCCCCTCCCTTAACGACACAAAAGAATTTAAATTGAGGGTCTTTTCCTGAATAAAGGGCTATTACCAGAGATAAATTTTATCTGAGTGACGCATCTGTCTGGCAGGACAAACATCTAATTACCAAACATCTGCTCTTACTGCCCGGTGAGCTGCATTCCCTTCCTTTCAAGTCCCAGACCCTACCCCCTGCTGAGTTCAGGATGACTTATATCCCTTGTTTTGCCTGTCTTTGGAATTTCCACGTGTGTGTGGTTCCCTGTGTGTACAAAATTAAATTTGACCTTCTGTTAATCTGTCTTATGTCAATTCAATTCTTTTGTTTAAATATACTTACTTCTTTCTGACAGAGAGAGAGAGAGAGAGAGAGAGAGAGCAAGCACGAGCAGGGAAGGGGCAGAGAATCCCAAGCAGGGCTGTACAAAGTCAGCCCGAGCTGCACTGGGGTGGCGGGGGGCGGGGGGCAAGGAGCTCGAACTCAGGAACCGTGAGATCATGACCAGGGCTGAAATCCAGAGTTCGGCGCTAATCGGACTGAGCCACCCAGGCGCCCCTCGTGTCAATTTGATTCTTTATCTAGAAGGACCCTGAAGGGGACAGGAAATTCTTGCTGCCCGGAGGTGCTTACCTGTGTCATTGTTCATTTAATCTTTACAACAACTCCTGGAGGAAGTAACTACAGATCGAGCAACTGAGGCACGGAGAGGTTGGACTTCCCCCAGGTCACACGGCTGGTAAACTGCGGAGCCGAGATGCTAAGGCAGGTTCCAGAGTCCAAACTCTAGCCGCCACCACGTACAGCCTCTCCAAAGGAGGGCAGTAAACGAGGACGTACCTGTTCAAGGATGATTTGAGGATTAAATGGGATCATGTGCGGGAGGGAACCCGATGTTTGACAAGGGCGACGGGTGGCAGCTGTGTGTAATCGGTTTCTTTTCCCCTTCTGCGTTGCGAAACTGGCCCGCCTTCTTCTTGGAGCAGAAAAGCAGAGGTCGGAAGGAGAGCCCCGGCCCGGGGAGGAAGCGGCCGAGGTGGAATGTGGAAAGGGGAGGGGGGGGGCGGGGGAGGAGAGGTAAACACGAGAGTGAGGCGGTGGGGGGAGCGCTGGAGACTTAGGAACCAAGAAGTGGGGGCGGCGGGGCCCTGGGAGCGTGGGGACTCTCAACGGCAAACAGAACCGGGCCCTCCGCAGCGCGCGCGGTGCAGGGGCGAGGCCTCAGCCCGGGGCGGCCTCCCCGCCCAGTCCCGGCCCCGAGGCCGGCGCGGGCGAGGACCCGGCTTCCCGTCCCGGCCGCGGCCCGCCCCGTTGCCGGGCGGGGCCCGATCCGCCCGCCGCGCCGGGAGCCGCAGCCCCGCGCCACGCGGTCCCCACGGGCCGGGCCGGGCGGCCGGGGCGCGATGGCGACGTGGCGGCGGGACGGCCGGCTGACGGGCGGCCAGCGGCTGCTGTGCGCCGGCGTGGCGGGGGCGCTCAGCCTGAGCCTCACTGCGCCGCTCGAGCTCGCCACCGTGCTGGCCCAGGTCGGCGCCCGGCGGGGCCGGGCCCGGGGGCCGTGGGCCGAGGGGCTCCGGGTGTGGCGCGCCGAGGGGCCCCGGGCCCTGTGGAAGGGGAACGCGGTGGCGTGCCTGCGCCTCTTCCCCTGCAGCGCCGTGCAGCTCGCCGCCTACCGCAAGTAAGCCGGGGTAGGGTAGGGGCGGGGCGGGCCCGGGAGCCGGAGCCGGGAGGCCGCCGCGGCCCGACGCCGCCCTGCTGCCCGGGCCCGCGCTCGGGGCGGGGGGGGGGGGGGGCGGCGCTCGGGGAGCGGGGGGAGAGGGCGCAGCCTCCTTCCGGATCGCGTGCGGGCCCCCGGGGCGCACTCTGGGGCTCCCTGCCCCGCCAGGCGCCGTTTTGTGGGGGCGCGGCCCCGGCCCGGAGAGGCTCACCGGTGTCGGACGGGCGAGGACGTGGAATGGGGCAAAAGCATCTCCAGAGAGCTGGCTCCAAACCATTCCCACCGTCCACCGACTTGGAAAGTTCCGTGCACCGACTTGCAAAGTTCGCCTTGGGCTGCCTCAGGAGAGACAGACCCCGTGGAAGGGGTGTCTGCGCGGTGGCGCAGTTGAGAGCAAAGCCCGCCGAAGAAAGTGCTTGGTTAGGGGGAGGTGCCACAAAAGGCCACAGATTTCTACCCGCCCCCCCCCCTCCCCGAAGCTTGCCTTTTGGGCTCACCGGAGGCTGCAAACAGGCCCCTCAGCTTACTGTCTTGCCGCACCCTCTGCCCACCGGCCTCCTCCTTTGGGCTTTTTTTCACCTTCTTCAACAAGAGCTGCTTTTTTTTTTTTTTTTTTTTTTTT